GTAAAAATTGCACGGGGCGCCCTATTTGGGCGCCCCTTTTTAACCTGTAGCCGCTTTGTCTTTTTGTTTGCATCCGTACCCACTTTTTAAAAAACTTCAGCTTCCCTTTATAACTGGGAAACTTCAGCTCTAGAGCTGAAGTTTCCGGGTTACTAAACAAAAACTTCAGCTCTAGAGCTGAAGTTTTTATTTTATAACTGGCAAACTTCAGCTCTACAGCTGAAGTTTTTATTTTATAACTTGAAAACTTCAGCTCTAGAGCTGAAGTTTTCGGGTTACTAAACAAAAACTTCAGCTCTAGAGCTGAAGTTTTTATTTTTTAACTGGAAAACTTCAGCTCTATAACTTGAAAACTTCAGCTCTAGAGCTGAAGTTTCCGGGTTACTAAACAAAAACTTCAGCTTTAAAGCTGAAGTTTTTATTTTTTAACTGGAAAACTTCAGCTCTAGAGCTGAAGTTTTTATTTTATAACTGGCAAACTTCAGCTCCCGGTTACTAAACAAAAACTTCAGCTCTAGAGCTGAAGTTTTTATTTTATAACTGGCAAACTTCAGCTCTAGAGCTGAAGTTTCCCGATTACTAAACAAAAACTTATAAATAACTGGCAAACTTCAGCTCTAGAGCTGAAGTTCGCGAGTTAAATTAAAAAACTTCAGCTCTAGAGCTGAACTTCAAGCCCGGCTACTAAAATGCTGATGTTTTGTGTAATTGCCTTTGCTACTTCAGCCCTGTGTGCTGAAGTTATGTGAAAAAGCGGGTACGCTTGCAATTTTTTTTGCAAAGCGGACACAGGTTAAAATGTGGCACAAAAAGCGAGTATAGATGCAAATGCCCCTGTCAGACCAAAACTAAGATGCTATTGGATTAGCTCGGAAAAACTAAATAGTTAACAGAGAAGACGAGGAAAGGGACTGCCAGATTGGAGAATGTCTCCTGAACCCATTGATCAATTTATACGGCTGCAAGTCTTCCGTCCAAGCAATGAACCATTACTGAAAAGAAGTGTCGTCCAACACAATGAATTTCATCCATAAAAAGCATACAGTGATATTTGGAGAATGTCATATCACTACATTTAAAGTGGTGTGTGGATGTGGTTGCTCTGCATAAAGCAGATAATTGAAGCATATATGGTTCATAGAAGTTATAACCTTGAGAGGGAAATGGGAATAGACCATCTGATTAGCCCCTCCGGCATTGTCTCTCCAAGCACAAAAGGCTAAAAGAAGGTTCTTGAAATCAACCAGTCAAAAGGTTGTTAAAAATTAACAGAGCACAGGACATACTCCCACACATATTAAACCCTTCTCATAAGAGTTACAAAGAAAAAGCACACGCAGCGCCTAACGTTAGGAAGACAAGCTCTCGATGTCAGCCGTTCGCTTTACCTTTATCTTTAGAGACTAAAATAGTAACTTCAACACAACGTCCATACTAAAGACATTTTGACTAATAAAGCTCATAATTGTACTTCAGATAACAAACTAGGAACTATATTTTAATGGCTTCCACTTTCCAACCATGTAGGACTGGCAAAGAAAGTTTCTTGCGCTCATCAAAGATAATCTTCCCTTGGCCAACAACTAGCAAAACCACAAACAAATAACGCAGCACAAAGAAAGCAATAATTGATAAGTAGTACCATGTTTAATTTTTCAAGTAAATTGGAAACTATATTTTAAACAAAGGAGCACTCAGTCATCAGGTTCAGAAAGCTTCAGCTTACTATACCTTACATGAAAACTATCAACATCAAACTCCATGTCAGGAAAATGAAAAACCCACTGGTGTTGAGGGACAAAACATCTACCAGTAAACTCAATTAGACACAAAGCAGAGATTATATGGTGCACAACCCCAGCCATCTTGCACCAACCACAACTACCACCAATCAACAAGGTAATACTAACAAATTATATCAAATGCCAGAAGGAAAAAGAACAATGCCAATGCCATGAAAAAATGCTAGCGACAAACTCACAAAGATTAGAAGAAAAAAAGGCCTCAATTCTGCCCCTTAAGTTGAAAATGCACTAATCATGCACTTCAAAACTTCATCAGTGACTTAAAAAGATGTACAAGATTCTCTATGTAGCATATATGATGCTAGGAATATGAGGAATCTGCGGGAAATAACTCAATAAAGGGAAACTAAAAGTACCCTAGTTAAGGCAAATCCAAACAAATTGGAACTGGATACTGCACCAAAAGCAAATGCAGAGTCTAATTTGAACTTGTTACTCCATCAAGATGACCAAACTTATACACCTTAGCTGTGATAGGCACAAAATTTACCAAATATCCATTTACAGATGCCTTAGCTGAAAGGAATACATTTCATTAGAACCCATCAGCAACTACATACAAGGAATTCACAGTACCAATAATCAGCTCGCTCAATCACATTCTAAATAAATGGAACTTAAAGATTAAAGGAAGTAGTAGACCACAAAAAATCAGTATTGTACAAATTTCTCACTGAAGAGGATAAAGAATAGCTGAATTAACAAACAAAAAATTCTCTTCATTGTCTTTAACAGTCATGTACAAAACAAACCCTAATTAGCCATTTGATAGCTACATCATCATATTTGGGCATAAAAGACTACTCTTGAATATAATCCAATCAAATTCCCCCCAAAATGTACATGTACAAAATATATTTCTATTGTAAAAAAAAAAAAAAAAAAACAAAATATAGATTTTTAAAACTCCTAAAAGACTTACCTTTTTTTTAATGTTTCTATGAAATTCCTCAAATACCCTTCCATTTTGGGCTTGGCACAGGAAGTGTCGGCGAGAGAGGGAGCTGCTGAAACCCTAGGTGACCGGACGGTGAAAGCAGCAGACTGGGAGACAGCAAACCGTACGGCGATTTTGGCGACGGCAAACACCCAAACGGCAGCGGCGATGACGGAAAAGCTGGAAACGGAGGTAAAACGGAAGAAGACGTTGTCGGCGGCGGAGGAATGTTCTGTTGCTGCTGCAGCGGAAACGACTGAGGTGGAAACGGCGGCTGCTGCTGCGGCGGACCAACGCTGTTCCACCGCGGAGCCAGTGGTGATAACCCACTGGGACCAGAGGCGATTGAGCTCTGCAGAAACCTCATGTAAGCGGAGATCGGCGATTCCGCCGAGGCATGTACCCCTGGAAACGGCGGAAGAGGAGATAACGGCTGTGCTTGAACAGGCCGTTGACCGCCAACAAATCCACCACCACATCCAATACCTCCACCAGCAACAGCATTAGAAGCGTTCACGAAGGGAGGAGGCCGGTTGGTAATCTGAGCAAGCGGCGGAGGACGGATCCTCTGCAACCGTGAACTCGGAGCCTTAGGCTGCTGTATAGGCGGAGGAGTAGAAATTCGTTCATGAGCAGGCGAACCAGTAAGCTTCTGAACAACATCTCTAAAATCACTCTTGTTAATATTATAGACCGGTGGCTGTTGCTGCGGTTGAGGCTGCAAATTCTGAAGAGGCGGTCCCGGTGGTGGCGCGTGTTGGGTCTGTGCCTGGGGACGCGTCTGAAGATTCTGGTTGTTGTCAAAAAGAGGAGGAGGAGGAGGAGGTTTTCTAATGGGTTTAGAAATCTTATGGGAGATTTTGTTAAGGTGTTTCAAATACATGTCCCTATTACCACTGCTGCTACTACTCGTAGCAGAAGTAGAATCAGCGTCACCACCAGATGAATTACAGCTTTTATTATCCATTAACAAATAGAAGAGCAGCAGAGGTGAGCTTCCAAAACTTTCTCACTCTAGAACAGTCCAACACTTCCTCTCTCTAGAAAATGGGGTTATTAGTGGGGTTGTATATAATAAAAAAGAAAAAGAGTAGAGTATCTATTTTTTCTTGCTTATCCTGCAGACTTTTTAACAAGAGAGAGGGGTGACCACAGAGTAGGGACAAATATATTATATAGGAAATAAATAGGACTTAAAACAGTAATAAATTAAAGATTATGCCTTTTATTAGTATTAAAGTAATCAAGTTGTAAGATTACATAGATTCAAACTTGATACAGCAAACCATGTTCCTTTTCTGTAAGACCAGAGGAAGAAAGAAAGAAAGTGAATCAAAGGAAGAAAAAGAGAGGACATGTCTGGGACTGGGGGTTAATTTAGGGGCGGAAAGGGATTTGCTTTAGCTTAAAAGAAGACAAGGGGGTAAATGGAAGGCTTTAAATAAATAAAGAGGAAAATTGGCTATATGAACGCACAAGCGGATCCGGTACTTAAATTTTGTAAATTTAATTTTTAATATTAAATTATTTATATTATTAAAATTTAAAAAATTTATATTTTTAATAAATTTTATATGTAAATTTATATTTCGTATAAAAAATTATAAATTCAATTACATCCGTTACTAGGATTTTACAAGGAAGACTGTACATTCGTGTGTGTGTATAGAGGAGTGTCCAAAATAGAGATGATGAATTGATGATAATGATGATGATGAGGAGGAGGATGCGTGTGATATCAGTTTGCTAAGATAAGAATGGAACGGGGTGTGTGTGATTACGTTGTTTTTCTGTCTTGTTCTCGAGTTGACTCGGCATAAGAAGTGAGTCTAGTGACTCGGATATGATGCATTTGAATTGTGATAGTAATAAATTATTTTTATTTTTATTCTAGTACAGGATAAAGTTGAAAAAATTGAACTGCAAAATAAATTCTAATTCAAAATTTTACAACTATAAAACTTAATAATTAGCTGCTAAATAAGAAAATTATGAGTTAGAGTTGTCTCATTTAAATGTGAAGGTTATTAATCAAAGTGAAAAACATAGCTACTTTGAGATTCTTATCTAAGTTTGATGTTTTTTGCGTCCTACTTAAATAATTTAATTTGATATATTCGTTTAGTTTAAACTCGTGTTACATCAAGCACTCATCAACTTATGTAGAAACAAAAGGAAAATATTTCATAGTAATTATTTAGCCTTGTGAAATACTAAACCGAATCAGTTGGATTCTTAGATTTTGGGACAATGTTTACTTCAATTACATGAATTAACTGTTCAATATTAGGGGTCCATGTCGATCGTGTGACTGACGCTTTGATTGTTAGTATTAGTTGGTACTAAACAGTAAACATTGTTTGCGTTTTAAGGGTGGTTTGGACAGAGACATTTAGGATAAATTTCTTATTTATATATTTTAAACTTTTAGAAATTCAAATGACATGTTTTGTATATATTATTGAGTTCGAAGTATATTTAAAACAGGATTGTAATTTTTCTTGAAACCAACTTTTCCACTGTGTTGTTCTCATTGAGATAAATCTAAAAATTCCTCAAAAAAAAGGTCCAATTTTCGTTAGGTATGTTAATAAATGTGCAAACATTATAAGTTAACCAGAATATTTAATGGATAAAATCACACCATCCAAACGGTTACATACAGTAGTATTATGGACCTGTGGTCCTATTTTCCAATTTGGTTGGACTTTAAAGAGAAAACAATACATATATTTTGCTTTAGCCAAAAAAGAAAAATAGTTTGAATTATTTATCACTTTAGAAAATTTAAAAGATATTGATTTCTTTTTTTTATTTCACACTTATTATTGCAAGGAATTATGTATTCATTGATTATTCATATAAGAAAGAGATATTAATCAAATAATCATTATAATTAATATAAATTTAATTGTTTTTCTTAATGATTGTGCGAAAATCTTAAACGAAAAATAAAAATGAAGTAGAGGAGTTATACTTCACTTCATGCTGAGGAAATAAATGTTTTCTCATTATTTCCAAAATAGCCGTTGGTAATTACTAATCCTATTCTTGCTTTATGAACAAGTACTACTATAGTAACTAGTACTCCTAATAATGACCCTTAGAACTTAGGAGTGTATTTGTTCCCAAGGCAACATATAATTACTGCGCCTAATTTGGATTACTTTTATTTGCATCGGTTAATTACCAAAAGTTACAACCCCAATGACTCTAAATAGCTTTCCTAATTTGATTAGATTGTGCATTAAAGCAATCTTTGACTATCGAGTCAAATTAAATTTTGACTGAGTTATGTTTTGAAATGATTTAACTATTTTGTAAAAATTATTGAAGCATTAGTAAAACAGAAAAGTGTAATACCATTGTTAATGATTTTTACATCCAAATCGAATATTCGTTTGTTCGATATAGATATCTTTGACTAGAGTATTGTAGTTATTAAAATCATATTTTAACATTCTTTGTTTCTTATAGGATAAACTGTTTGTGCAAAATAAATTTTCAATACCCGTCAAGCTCTAATATGGATATATGTAGTATAATGTAACATGTTGGAAACCTATGTTGCTATTAAGGGTTGTGATGGAGTGTAAGTACTCATTCATTCTTAACTAAAGATTTCGGGTTCGAGTTTCTGGATATGGAGTCGCCTTTGTTAGGAAGCGTTTTACTCCCCTAATGTGGGACTTCCCAGCAAGAATCCGGATTTAGTCGATCCTGTAAACATAAACTTAATTATTACCAGGATTTTGAACATGATAATCTTACATAAAATTGTTACAGAAAATATACCTGAATCGTAAGCCATTATCACGAAGCGGAAGCGTTAATTGGAATTGGTTTCTCGCCCCTTGCACTATCTTTCGTTATCGTCGACTTTAGTGATGGAAGAGAGAATAGAATAATACGGTAACTCTAATGGGTGGGGAGAGGAGCAATTTATAGAGGTTCTCATTTAATACGGTACGTCCATTAAGTAACCGATCGGACGGATGAGATTTGCTCATTAATTAAATATTAATTATGGGCCTTAAACTTATTGGCCACCAATATACGTAGGAAAATCTTATATTCTCCCACTTGGCCCAATAATCACACAATATTAATATTTAATATAGGAACATTAGTTGCACATAAACAAATCTCTTCTATAACGTCCATCATAAATACCATAATACGATAAACTACTAAATGTGAGTTATGGTGGTTATATATAATTTGTCTACATACTCACTTTCATATACTACAACATTAGCAACTCATCGTACCAGGTCCATAAGCTATAAAATATATGGTCCACACTCCACAACAATGTCTCATTGAGACTCATCTTGTAACATCTCAAAACAATAATGCGTACACCATTATGAAAAATAGAAAATCATTAATGTATATAAAAAACGCATAAATGAGATCAGAGAGTCAAAACATCATAAATATATCAATCATAAATACAGCCAAGACCCATTCTATGTACATGTTCTTTAAATATCTTTGGTTGTAAACCTTTTGTTAACGGATCTGCAATCATGAGATCAGTTATAATATACTCAAGTGACACTATTGTTTCTGAACTTCATCCTTGACGGTAAAGTACTTTAATTCCATATGTTTGACACTTTTGGAGTACTTATCGTTCTTGGAGAAGAATATTGCTGCAGAATTATCACAATAAATTTTCAGCGGCTTGGTAATGGTGTCGACAACCGCAAGTCCTGAAATAAAGTTTCACTGCCATAATGCATGAATTGTGGCTTCAAAACATGCCATAAATTCTGCTTCCAGTGTGATGTAGCAGTGACAGACTGTTTAGCACTCTTCCGTGATATTGCTCCTTCCGCTAATTGGAACAAATTACCAAACGTGGACTTTCTAGTGTCAATACATCTAGCGAAATCTGAATCCGAGTATCCAACAACTTCCAAATGCTTGGATCTCCTATACACGAGCATGTAATCGTTCGTTCCTTTCAGGTACCTCAAGACTTTCTTTGCAGCTTTCCAGTGATCAATTCCTGGGTTACTCTGATATCTTCCCAACACTCCGATCGCAAAACTAATATCCAGTCTTGTGCAAGTCTGAGCATACATCAGACTACGAACAATAGAAGAGTAAGAAATTGAGTCCATTTCTTTTTGTTCTACATCATTCTTAGGGCATTGCATGAGACTAAATTTGTCCCTTTTTTGAATTGGAACACTTCCTGCTGAACAGTTAATTATGTTAAATATCTCTAGAACTCTTTCGATATAGCCTTTCTGAGACAATCCCAATAATCATTGTGATCTATCACGGAATATTTCTATTCTTATCATATAGGATGCCTCACTCATATCTTTCAGTTCAAAATTCTTAGAGAGAAAATCTTTGGTCTCACGCAATATGCCTAAATCATTAGCAGCAAGTAGAAATATCATCAACATATAGGACTAAAAATATAAACTTGCCCACACTGATCTTTTGGTATATACACCGATCAACAGTATTTTCCACAAATCCAAAAGATGTTATGGTATTATTAAACTTTATATACCATTATCGTGAGGCTTGTTTAAGTCCATATATTGACTTCTTCAATTTACACACCACTTCCTTTTCCTTTAGTTTCGAAACCCTCTGGTTGTTCCATATAAACTTCTTCCTTGAGATCTCCATTAAGCAAGACAGTTTTCATATCCATTTGGTATAACTCTAAATCATAATGAGCCACCAAAGCCATAATAATTCTTAACGAGTCTTTCTTTGAGACCGATGAAAAGGTCTCTTTATAATCAATGCCTCCTTTTTTAGTATAACCCTTGGCAACAAGTCTGGCTTTATATCGTTCAATATTACCATTTGAATCGCGTTTTGTCTTAAAGACCCATCTACACCTGATTCTTTTAGAACTTTCTAGCAATTCAACGACATCTCAGACTTTATTGTATTCCAAGGATTTTAACTCTTCCTTCATGGCATCAATCCATTTGACAGACTCATTACTTTCTATGGCTTGTAAAAATAAAACCGGATCTTTATTAAGACCAATGTCAAAATCTAACTCTTGTAAATAAACCACGTAATCATCCAAAAAAGATGATTTTCTAACTCTTTGAAATTTTCTTAATGGCATTTCTTGTGGTTCATTTGTATAAGATATTTGAGAGTTAGTTTCTTTATGAATTATTTCATCCAAATCTTGCTCGGTGTTGTCAAAGTGTTCTTCAACATCTAGAATAATATTTGATATTTCTGTGGAAGTAGGCACATTCGTGAGTAATAGAATATTGACCTTCACCTCTTTTATTTTCACACTTTGTTTTTAAACACTCCCACTAACTTCACCATTCTCAATGAATCTTGCATTACCGATTTTAACAATTCTCGAACTATGGCTTGGACAATAAAACACATACCCTTTAGATTTC